TACTCCCAGAAGTAGGACTCCTCCTGGCGCGCCACACCTTGGCCGGCCGGCCCCCCTCCCTTCAACCTTTATATACGGAGGCAGGGGCACCCCTAGAGACACAAGTTGATCCACGTGATCATATTCTTAGCCGTGTGCGGTGCCCCCTTCCACCATAGTCCTCGATAATATTGTAGCGGTGCTTAGGTGAAGCCCTGCGACGGTAGTACATCAAGATCGTCACCACGTCGTCGTGCTGATGGAACTCTTCCCGACACTTTGCTGGATCGGAGTCCGGGGATCGTCATCGAGCTGAACGTGTGCTAGAACTCGGAGGTGCCGTAGTTTCGGTGCTTGATCGGTCGGGCCATGGAGACGTACGACTACATCAACCAAAAGCTTCCGTTGTCGATCTACAAGGGTACGTAGATCATACTCTCCCCTCTCGTTGCTATGCATCACCATGATCTTGCGTGAGCGTAGGAATTTTTTTGAAATTACTACGAAACCCAACAATTTGCTTGCAAGTGAATCCCTTGAAATGAGAGGCGCAACCATATGTAGCTCGACTAGTACTTCTAAACATGTGTAGGCTAACTGTTTGTTGGCATGGTATTTGAAAGATAACAAAATTAGCATGAATTCAAACTTCAATCATTGCCATAAAAGAGGATTTCTTCCACTATTATATACCCTGAATAGGTGATTTGCATTCATTGTGCTTTCCACCTCTGTTGTCCCCATGCTCGAGTCATAACTCACATCTTTCCTTGCTTGAGTCATTACTCACATCTTCATAAGTCGCCTCAATTTTTTCTCTCATTTCAGAGATAAGCTGGCTATTTCTTTTCCAGGTGGATATTTTTATCATAGCAACATGGGAACTTTAGGATTTTGGGTATAAAAAATGGCTCCATCGTCTAGATATACATGTATGTTCACCAATGAACATGATAATATGTTTTGGAATATACTTTACACATAATAAAAAACATGTATTTTTTGGGTATCGTGGCAACATGGGAAGTGTATGTTGATAGACGGTCCACACATCATTGATTATTGGAGTTGCCCAACTCATTTCGATCTCAATTATTATTTTGCCTCACCTTTCTGGAAAGTTTGGTTTTTAAATGGAATTATAAATCTTTCAACAATTTAGTATAGGTTTTGAATATCTTGGGAATCGCTTTGCCTAGCCATTTGAAAATGTGGCTGCCTTTTGCAACTTTCAGCCAAATTTGGATAAAAACTTCAAACCAATTAATAATAGAGTTTGCACTAACCGATATTTCAACCATTCCAATCTCAACCCTTGTGCTGCTCCCCTGGGATGACTTGGGTGACGCCCTAAAAAACCCAATGTTACCACTTCTTTCCCATCATCCTTGCTCTTGGAGAGAGCTTTCTTGTGTGGTTTTTGTGGATGGTTGTGGCAAGGCTCTCTCCTCATCCAGATCATGAGTGAGTGTGTGGCACAATCGTGCTTGTCGGTTAGGTGTTTCGAAGAACGGCTGGTCCGACAACCGTTTGATGATGGGAAGCGGTACACTTGTGCTTCATCAAACATATCTAGGGTGAATAGCTTGTGGTGGAGGCCACATTGGTCGCACATGATGAGGTATACGGGGGACACGAGTGGCTTCGACTAGGGGTCTGGCCACTTTCCGTTGACATCAGGAGTTGGCTACTATTATAGACGTGACCAGTTCTTATCCTCCCTCCTCTTCTCCTAACCTAGCACATATACATTTCAAATTCGAGTTGTGCTCATTCGGAGCTAGTCGGGTTTATATCTAGCCGGACTTCATGACAATCTAGATCCTAGGGTTGGGCTTGTTAGCCATTATCATACCCCCAAGGCCTTAAAAAGGTCTCTGCTTTCCTCATGCTTGCCAGAACGAGGCAGTTTGGATCCAGGCTGGCATCCCTATTTGGTGGAAAGTTGCAATGCCCCATCCCTATTTGGTAGAAAGTTGCGATGCTTGTGGCTAGGGCTCACAACCCAAGTGAGGGTCGACAACCAAGACTGTGAAGGCGCGTGGGTGCTGCTGATTTGCATTCGGTGGTGGTTGTCCGGTGGTTATCTTAGCAACCAACCATGCCAAGTCTGGGGGTAGATAACTCATGCCGTTGTGGAAGCTAGTCCAACTTCGGTCCATCTAGTTGTGTGACATTCATGGATGCCACCCCCTCTTTGAAGGCATCATCACAGCCGCTCTATGACCTCATTGGTGCTCTCGGTGAAAACACCATATTTTTGGATTAAAGGGTGGTGATGCTCATCCTACTCGTCCTGAGGGCACCGCCTTGGACTTCGGTTCCTTGTTATCCCAAGTGTTGCTAGTTGGCAAATGTGGCTTTGTATGGTTGAGACCAGGCCTGATGAGATAAGGTGTTCTTCTTGGGTGATCGTATCACTCGTCCGCATGACACGTTGTGTTCTTAGTGAACTCCGGGATGCCAAAATTGATGTCTCTTGTCAGCATGAGATATGGTCCTGTTCAGTGACAAAGATTGTCAGCAGGATGGTATGTCCTTGTCGGTTTGGTTGTTCCGTTCTTTGCATCAACGACTCAGCCTTCTCAGATGGTGCTACTTCACCCTTGTGTTTTCTTCGGCATGGGTTTCCCTTATTATGCATCCCTAGTTTAGTTGGTTAGGCTTGCTTGAAATAGACTTTTCCCTTGCTTTATAAATAAAGCACCAACCCAAGTCCATACAATAAGTCGTCCAAGTGCGTGTAGACCTTTGTGTAAGCCAGTTGTCATAATCTTGTCGCGTGTGTGTGTAAGCAAGCCGTAGCACATTGAATTTTTTCGTTGTTTTAGGGGCATCATTAATTAATTTACCCGCAAAAGATGAATTGTTAATGTCGGGCCTGAGCTTTCTTTCACATAACATAAAGTTTGCCCTTGAGTGACAAGGATTATGGAGTCCCTATATGACGCATTAAGCGTCAAGTTGTCGGGCTCCAGCACAGATGAGTGTCTGAACTAGGCCAACCCATTTTAGCGCGCACTATAGAGATCACTTTAGCTGCCCGGTTGCCTGTAGTGGTTGGAACACCATAGCAACCTGACACTATAGCAAACATCTTTTACAATTTGACAACAATTTTTTAAAACACCAACATTTGTTGAAAATTCAAACATTTTCTAAAGAAAATTTTGTGAACAAATTTGAAATTTTTGAACAACTTTTGGAAAAGCAAACAATTTTGAAATTTCTATAATTTCTTCAAAAGACAATTTTGAAAACTTTGAACAATTTTCGAAATTTAAAACAGTTTTTAAGAAATACAAACATTTTTTAAAATTCCAAACATTTTTTGAAAAAAAGGAACTAGTTTTTAATTGCAACCAAATTTTAATTTTTTGTTTGAAACATTAAAAAATGGTTTTCTAAAAGAAACAGAAAAACTAAAAAGGAAGAACCCAAAAACAGCAGATAAAAAGAAAACTAGTTCAAGAACCTTCTAGACGATTCCCCAAACCAGGTCCTGTAGTATGTTAGCCATTCTATATAATGGGCCGTCCCATTTTACATCGGTCGCTGCATTCTCTGTGTGAAACGTGGACATTTTGACGCAAAAGGCGTCAAATAGGATTCTCCGGGATGAGATTATGACTGCTTGTACAAAGGCCCGTTTTAACCACGCCACAGCGGATCTGCAAGTGTATCAGTGCAAAACTATTCCAAGCCTGGAAAATTCGGCCATTAGCCGCCGGGGCATTCTTTTTAGCATCGATCGGTGCGTCCAAACACATGGATCAGAGAGCCCTCCGGACGAGCCGATCGAGGAATAATCATTCGCATCTTCTATAACTTCTTCCATAGCCTGATCGGTGGCTGGATCCCTCTCTACAAATAAGCAAGCAAAAGTAAGTTAACTAGCGAGAGCACCAAGACGTACGCAGTGGAGAACTAGCTATACTGATGGAGGTAGAGTCAGCGAGAGCGAGTGACAGCGTCAGCGAGAGCAGGTGGTCGAAGCTGGCTGTGACGCTTCCCGTCAGGAACGTCCAGGCTCTGGCGGCGTCCACCGGCGAGCTGATGGCCGAGGTGATTGAGCGGTACATACAGCCGGACATCGACGCGTTCGCTGTTCTCGATGAGCACTCCGACGAGGTTCCGGTGATCGACGTCAGCAAGCTTTCGAGCCCCGAGTCCGTCGAGGCAGAGGCCGCTAAGCTCAAGTTTGCCTGTGCGGAGTGGGGATTTTTTCAGGTGCGTCACTCAAGTAATGAACTTAACCAGCTTAATTTATATGTCCTCACTTGTATCATACATGAAAAAAACAGTTTTGCTAAAGCACATCTAGATGTGCCCTAAGTATTGCACATCTAAGTCCTATGCCATTGAGTCCATGTGAAGATTAGTGCAAGCATTTTTATTAGTCTTTTTTTTTCTTTTTCTTTCTAGTTTGATTGAGTCACTTAGATGTGCAATAACTAAAGCACATCTAGATGTGCCCCAGACAAACCCGAAAAAATGTTCTTCTTTCTAAAATTTCTGGTGACATTTCTAGAAATATTTCTATTTTTTAATGTCTGCTTATTTATTTTATTTTCTGATTACTCAAATTTATTCACACTTCCCAATATTATGACTTTCTTGCCTCGAATGTTTTTTCTAGAAATTTATTCACACTTCCCAATATATATATATATATATTCACACTTCCCAATACTCAAATTTATTCACACTTCCCAATATATATTTATACTCGAATGCCACATGGGGGAAATCTCATGGCTTTATTTGTTATACTGCTTTGATTGTGGCCAGGGTACAAATTAGTCATGTTTCAAAAGTTTAAGGTCCGATATGTTTGGTATTAGAGTTCAAGGACACAATCTGGAACCAGTCTAGAGATACAAAATGTATACTTTTCTCTAAACATTAATGACTAGACTCAATCATTCCATCCTTCAAAAACTATGTTTGATAAAGCATGATTGTTTGTCCAACTTTGAGTTTTGCAGGTTGTAAATCATGGAATACCAGATGAGGTCATCATGGGTATGAAGCATGACATTCAGAAGTTTTTTCAACTCCCCCCCGATGTTAAGAATGCATATGCTCAGCGGCAAGGGGATCTTCAAGGTTATGGTCAAGCGTTTGTTGTCTCTGATGATCAAAAGCTAGAATGGGCTGACATGTTTGCGCTCTTCGCCCAACCACCCGAAGCCCGTGATATGAGTTACTGGCCATGTGAACCCCATACTTTCAGGTGAGACTTTAATTTGTATATTTGAGATAAGGAAAATAAAAATGCCTTCCTTCTTTTCAAAGAATCAAGCTTAGCAGCTTACTTAATTTGGCCCAACACCCGAGTTCAATGGTGATTAGATTTCTAGAATTTACACGATTGACTTAGTTAACGTTTTTTTTATAAAATGGACAAGCATGTCAATTTTGAGGTAAGAGCATGTTTTTCACTGCTACAGTGTGCCATTCTTGTGAGTGTGACCTTTGAAACATGATTTTGACATTCTATGCAATTTTGAGATAAAAGCATGTTTTTCACTGCTACCATCTGTTACGTGTTCATTTCGTGTAAAGCATTTATTAGCCTCATAACATAAACACATAGGCCAAAGAGGAGGAGTACCAAAAATTTATGTTGGCCTTATTCTTTTGTTATTTTTTATTGTTATGCATCTCGTCAATTCAACAGCAACGACACAGATTGAGATGTTCGCTTCTTTGACCCCGAGTGCCCTTTTACAGTTCATATATACAACACTTTATACTCCTAACTATGCTAAGGACTCAAAGTAAAGTAGTAGTAAACTTCTAAGAATTTTCTTTATATTTGAACATTGGTATAGAAATGACACCAACCCCACCAAATTAAATTAGACATTGCCACAACAACCTACAAATAATTTGTTGCCTTTATCATTGATGTCCTATACCTAGCCCTGATTTTATTTGTTGAAACCAAAAAATGGTATTTATGAAACTTTTATATTGAAAAACTCATAAATCTAAAAATCTTACAGAGGAACTAACAAATATTAAGTATTCTGGCAAAACAAATTTGATACTAAGTCTTTTAGGGTAATATTTTCATCATAAATAGCGAGCAAGAGAGTCTTTGGTACATGGCAACGCATAACAAAAGGTCAGGCCGAGGTGTATACAAGCAAGAAATATTGGGGGATGGGGGGGGGGGTAGCTTTTAGTTTGTACTTGGAACTAACAAAGGCTAAGTCTGGTCATATAAAGCCCAAAGTATTTCAATATCTACCAACGGCATCAATAACATAGAAACATTATTCTTCTTTTGATCCCAGGAATTTTATTGAAAAGTACTCTTCGGAGGTGATGAAACTTGCTCATTCTCTTGGCGTCTTCGTTGCAAAAACACTAGATCTTAATCCTGAATTGGTTGAAGACAAACATGTGGCGCAATTTCTCAGGATGGGCTACTACCCTCCATGCACGCCAATGCCAGAAAAGGTTTTAGGCTTCAAACCGCATTCTGATATGTCATTCCTAACTATTCTACTGGAAGTTAATTCAGTTCAAGGCTTACAAATTAGAAGGCATGGTGCATGGATACCTGTGAAACCATGTCGCGATGCACTATTGGTGAATGTGGGTGACCTTCTTGAGGTATGCTTCTTGAGACATGTTAAGTTAGTCATACAACATCTGAAACTATAAAATACGGAAATCATATTTTTAAAATCCTTATATGTGCCTCGTGAAGAGAAAACCTCAACTCCATCAGTTTTTGACTGACAAACTTTAACACGCCCAAGCACATTGACCAAATGAAAGCGGTTATATCTGGCTTGCCATCGGGTATTAAGTTTTTCAACTACCCGAGTTAGTAAAAGTACTTCTCAATTCATTTATCACATGTTACATTATTAATTGTAGCACACTGTATGCCACTCCAAAAAAATAGCCACGATTTTGGGTTAGAGTTGTTTCTAAATAATTTTGAAGTTAGAGAGAAAAAAAGTAAAATGTCCACCCAACCAAACAAGTGATGCATCGACCCACCTTTGTAGCCCTCACCCAGTATCGACCCAGCGTTGCTCATAAAGCTCATTATTGGCCATAGAAAAGACCCATTCTAGTTTCTCTTTATTCAAGCTACTTGAATACTATTGTTCCTTTTCTCTTATTGTCATTCAGATCATTTTACAATACATGAAAAATAGTTCGCTAATGTTCAATAATTTCCATACTACTTCTTTCTATTTATTAATTCCAAGAAATCTTGATCAAATAAGACAAAGGTACCTTTTTTCTAGAGATTAGGGGTGCATTCTAGGCATAGCAATATTTGAATGTTGCATAGGGAAGTTTTTCCTATACATTGTCGTGTGTAGTTCTCAAACTACTTTCAACTTTATATGAGGAACTGTTTTTCGAGGATAGATGAGCAACTTGATATTTGTCTAATTTAGTTTACTTATTTGTTTATAGATTATGACAAATGGGAAGTACAAGAGCATTGAGCACAGGGTTACCATAAATGCCCACAAGGAGCGACTAACCGTGTCTGCATTTCACCTCCCAAATTATGATGGAATAGTTTCACCAATTTTGGAAACTAGAGAAGAGAAGTTGTTATACAAGACAGTGAAAGTAGAAGAGTATGCAAGACTTTTTTTCACAAACAAACTTGAAGGAAAGAGAGCCCTAGATCATGCGAAGTTATCCCAATAAGGATTGTCTACTCTAATTTATCATTCTAGACATACGTTCATACAGAAGACAATGAAAGTAGAAGAGTATTCAAGACTTTATTTCTCAAGCAAACTAGAAGGAAATAGAGCTCTGTACTATGCAAAATTATCTGAAATATAAGGATTTTCTACCGTACTTTGTCGTTCTAGGCAAGCACTCTTAAAATGCTATTTGGTGCTTAATGGATATATGTTTCTCACTGGGACTAATCACAGAGATGTTTGTCACTTCATTTGAATTTCTTCATTTATTTTCGGATATACATATGCTCAACTTCTGTACAATTGTGACAATACTTGAAAGACGAAAATAGGTTCACTCCAAATTAACCTCTGTTCCAAACCATCCCAGCAAGAAGGTTGGCGCCAAGGAGAAGATGATAATAAGTAACAAATTGGGAAGCAACGGCCCCACTAGCCACCCAACCAATTGTTGGTGCTTATTGTGGTTAACCGGAGCTACAACCATCTCATTTTATGGTTACGCTCTGATCTTGTAGAGTAGAGTACTTGACCTGTGCCAGAGTATTGCTGCTGCCTGTAGTATAAAAGACGTTAGTCATTCTTGGTTCTTGGGATGGGCTCAGCAGGCGTTCTTGGTTCCAAGCGGCATTGTTTAGCGTCGCTACGTCCAAACGCATGGAGCAGAGAACCTTCCGGGCAAGCCGATCAAGGAATCATCATTCGGATCTTTCTTGTGAGACCGCAGTTTAACTAATAATTCTGTGCTGTTTGATCGAATCCAACAGAAAAAGATTAGCAAGTTGCAACCTCCACTAACAGATATATAAGAGCTAGCGTATGGAGTCAGAAATGGCCATACCGCGTAAGAAAGAACAAGACGAAGATTAGTATATTGCGAGTCTTGAGTCAGCATTTTATAAAATTGCGTGAAGATGTAATCTCAGAAGTCAGCTGATGGTAAGCATCGAGAGGAAGCTGGAATGCACCCAGTTACACCACCCCCAACGGTGTAAATTATGCTTTGCTTGTTGTATAGACTTCGTCCAACGGATCTGACAATTTCAGATGCATGTGTATCTTTATATATCTATTTTTTGCGGGTATCTTTATATATCTATGTGTCTTCACGCTTTCATAAAATTCATAATTTGTGAGGTACTTGCTTTGTATATTTAGAATCACTGGTAGGACCTTGATTCCTCAAGACTTAACTATGGAGCCACTATCCTGAATAGTATTTCCATTTGCAAACTTTCCCCTCTAGGCTTCACAGGCTGGATTCGCCTATCCTGTACCTGCCGCTCCAATGGCCGGTGGAGAGGAGGGGAACCCGGTGACTTCGCTCCAGTAAGTAGTTTAGGTTAGGATTTTTAGTCCTCGCAGGTGTGGCTCTCGGATGAATGGTGGGGTTTTTTCTTCGAGTTTGTCTTCCGGGTTTCGATCTCCATTAGGTTTGTTCGTTTGGACATAGTCGACGGAGCTTCGATGTAGATTACTGCCATATCTTTGGAGCGGCGAGGTTGGAGTTTCTTGTCATGTGGTCAGATTTGGCGTCAGGTGCTTAGAGTTCAACGACACCAACTGCGGCTCCAGGACGCTGGTCCTTAGGGGTACGTGCATGAAAACTTCATGTCTGTCGTTGGCAAGGTTAACCCGGCTCCGGTAGGGGAGCGGCGACAGCGACAGCAACGCGTGGGCGGTTCATTCTGAAAGCAATAGTGGTCCTTTGGTGGTCCCGAAATCTCAATATAAATTTTTGATCCTTTTCAAAAATAAAATGTTGAATGCCTGAACAAATAAGCAGCAAAAGCAGAGCACGACATACTCTTTACCCTTAAGGGCAAATTGGCTGCATCTGTCAGGACCGAGCTGTTCAGACCCATTCTCCTATCCAACGCGGTACCTCGTCAGTTCACGGAGCGGTCCGAACATCCATTTACATGCAAATCAAAAGAAAACAGGGGAGGGGCATTTTGCGGTAGTCCAGACAACCGTCAGATAGGACTCTGACACCCCCAACCCACTCAAATCCCCCTTCCAGATCCACTTCACTTCCACTCCGCCCCTACTTCCCCTTATTTTGCATCTGCATCCTCCTCGTCTGACACCGTTGTTGTACCTCTCGGGCCGCCAACTAGGCATCGTAGGACGTCGCAACCCGAACCAACAATGCCGCCGTCCACCTGGGATCTCACCGCCAGTGTCGACGATGTCCATGGTGGACACCACGCCTGGTAGGCATTCGGTCAAATGTCATTGAGTTTATGTTTGAACTTCATGTTTTTTTCTAGATTAAACACAATGGCGGAATACTCAGTGAAGGAGGATGATTTGTTGTGCGATGCATGGTTGGCCGTATATGCGTACTTTGTAGGCATGAACTCAAGGGGCTCTGTCTTTTGGCAGTGCGTGCATGGTTCGTTTCATGCGCAAAATCACTTTGCGCCCTACGACATGCACATCATCCATGAATGCAATGTAACGTCGTTAGGGCATCTATGGTACACTATTTAAAACTTCGTCGTGAAGCTTTGCAACACGGTTAAATGTGTGCGGGCAATATGGCCATTGCGTGGGTTCATGGAGATCGTAAGTTTTCTTGTTATTGCTCTACATGTTGGTTAATCATTCATTCACTCAATGTTGCTCTGCATGTTGTATGGCTTGCATGCTCTACCGTGATGTACTACAGGATCGGGGGCAGGTCATTCACACACATATGTGGAACGACATGTGCCGGCTTTGATTATCCTAGTATCGTCAAATTTGAAATCATAAACTTGTTGAACATTTGGTTATCTCGTTCAATTGAAACTATTGTTGTACCAGAGATGTTTGCATACTATTTATGGATGAATTATGCTATTCTCTATAATTACTTTGATGTCGTGGGCTTAGTTTAGTTAAGCGGATGAAATATCGTTCGTTTTATGTAAATTATATCCAAACTTTGCTTAATTCTGTCGTGTTTGATGTAATTCATCCGGTTTGTTGAAATCCAATTTGAAATGATTGCGAGCGGTTGAATGGCCGGCTCTCACATCACTACTCACGGATAGGTCCCCAACAATTCGCAGATGGATATGATGTTTGATACATTGAAGATGGTATATCAGTTCAAAATAATCCTGAGTGATGTTGCAAAGGCATGTTTGAATCACGCCTATACCTGGCCATGGGCCGGGCCGGGCTTGGGTCGGGCCTAAAAAAGCCCATGGCAGAAAACTGAGGCCCGGGCCCTCCCAGGCACTACCATTGAGCCTACTTTTCAAGTCCAAGCCCGGCCCATCTAGTAAAAAGCCCTGAAAAGCCCCTAGGGCTTAGGGGCGTGGGCCGGGCCTCTTCCTTAAAATGCCAATATGCCAAGCCCAAGCACGTCCAGGCCCTGTTGGTGGGCTCAAAACTCAGGCCCAAGCCCGGCCCATGGGCAAGACCATCGGGCCTAGGCCCTGGATTTTAGGGCCGGCCCTGGGTGGGCCGACAGGGCCGAGCCGGAGATGGCCAGGACTAATCACGCCACCGCAGATCTGCAAGTGGCCAATGCATTAAATTCGGCCATTAGCTGACGGGCATATTTTTTAGCATCGGCGCTTCCCGGACGAGCCGGTCAAGGAATCATTCGCATTTTCTAAGTCGGGAAGATATAATCGTGATCGACTTTCATGGTACTTTCTCTGTTTTATATTAATTGTAGTACTAAATCAGCGACAACCAATACCAAACGGAGGGAGTACGCTCTACTCTGACCATCCGTTCACATCATGATGTGTGCGCATGTAATCATCACATGCCCACCTTCTGTCCGCCCCAGCGTCGTTAGGCTGGTCGTAATGGGAGTATCATAACTAGTATCATGCATACCAATCAGACTATTTTGCTGAGGTGGCATTGAATTAAATGTGGAAAGGGAGGGTTGAGTATCATATCATGATACCGTATCATAATAAATGTTATGCTACTATGTGTCATGCATGACAATAAATAAGGTCATCTAAGATACTAGTATATGATACTATGCATTACGGAGGTAATATCATACCTTAATATCATGTACCCATTACGGGCAGCCTTAGCAGGAGTTGACATTACATTTCAGTTAACAATCTGCTACGGAGTATATAATAGCCAGATCGATGGCTGTAGCCTGACTAGCGAGACCCGTCGTGGAGAACTAGGTAGCTACACCAATAATGGAGGCGGAGGCAGCGAGTGGTAGCGCCGGCGAGAGCAGTTGGTCGAAGGTGGGAACATCGCTTCCTGTCACGAGCGTGCAGGCTCTGGTGGCGTCCGCCGGCGAGCTGACGGTCGACAAGATCGGACGGTATATCCAGCCGGACATCGACGCGCACGCCGTTCTCCCCGAGCTGTCCGACGAGGTTCCGGTGATCGACCTCAGCAAGCTCTTGAGCGCCGAGTCAGCTGAAGCTGAGGCCGCCAAGCTCAGATTTGCCTGTGCGGAGTGGGGCTTCTTTCAGGTACTTGAGGCCAATATTAATCAACCACTACAATTTATATTTCTTCATTCATAATGTTATCGTATCTCCGTGGCGCAACCTGGAGACATTTTGGGTCTGGGTCTGGGTCTAGGTCTGGTTCTTTACCTTCGATCACATCTTTCAATTTTATTACTACTTTCTTCCCTTGAATGCTTTTCCTGGTATTTTTTCATAATTTGTCATATTTTTGTGCAACTCGGTCATCACATGCATGGGGGAAATAATCGCAACTACATTTGTCATATTGCTCCGATTGTTGTTAGGGACCAGATTAGTCACTTTCAAAAGTATAAGGTCAAAGATATCTAGTATATTGGAGTTCAAAGACAAAATCCGGAATTAGTTGAGAGAAAAACCATACTTTTCTCTAAATATTAATTTGTAGATTCATTCATTCCATCCCTTGAAAATGTGTTTGATAAAACATTATTGTTTGCCCAACTATTGAGCTTTCAGGTTGTAAATCATGGAATACCGGATGAAGTCATAACGGGTATAAAGCAGGACATTCAAAATTTCT